GTCAAAACTAATTTTTGTATAAATCATTAGTTGTTGTTTTGAGGTTATTAAAATAATGTTAGTCTCAAATGAGAATTCAAATTTTTCAAAGTTTCAAATGTGCACTGTATAATTTACTGCAATGTAAAATACCTAAGGCTATAGCCCATGGTTTTTTCCAAAAAATGGCTCCAAAATCACCCCAAATTTTTATTACATTTTCTGATACATATTGATGTCCTTATGCTGTGTAGAAAGTTTGAGCTGATTCTGACTTCAATTTTTTGAGTTGTGGCCATTTTTAGAAAATGCCAAAATTCTAAAAATATCCAAGGCTATTACAGCCCATGATTTTTTCAAATAAAAATGGCTTCAAAATCACCCAAAATTTCTATTATTTTTTCTGGTACATATTGATGTCCTTATGCTGTGTAGAAAGTTTGAGCCAATTCCGATACGAAATTTTTGAGTTATGGCCATTTTAAAAGCAAAGACTATAATACTGTGTACATGTAACTTCACACTCACAACTGCACACTTCATTGCCTAATGCTCATGTCATTTGACAATCATAAACAGCTGAAACCACTGATGCTAGCAGTTATGGCAGTCAAATCTGCTACTGTGTGAACATGCAGACTAAAATAAGGACCCCCTATAGTAGTATCAGCCCCAATCCAATATAAAATTTGTATTAATGTATGAACTACTAAAGTAACAACACTTTCGGTCCAGAATAGACACATTTAACTGTATTTACATAACTATTTAAGCCATGGAACGGTTTTGCAACCATTTGTTCAGACAAATTTTCTTGTGATTGGTTACATTATAATGGATTAATGGTATACAAGTATCATGTGAGAAACTATTGTCTTTAGATTAGTAAAATAATACAATAACTGCTTTACAGACACAGGGCACAACAGACTGAAAATCTCAGGAGATTTTAAACAATCAAATTATTTATTGTGTTAGCAATTATGCAAGTGGGATTTGTACAATAATGAAGTATTTTATGCAATAAATGTAACCACTATTATTATGTGCATTTTACATACCATGTGATTTTTGCCACATTGTAATGGGCCCTGCTGATTATTCTAAAGAGCAAGTATGGTGATGCAGCTAGAGCTTCCTGTGTTTAATATTTACAAATAATCAAATAAAATAATGTATCATTACATAACATCTACTGAATCTGAAATGTAATAAGATAAGCTGGATAACTTTTGTCATGATCATATACAATATAGATTTGAGAAGAACCAGTCACACCATTTACACTATCATACAAACTGCCATCCTTTTTCTTTGGTGGAGCACACAATGTTGAATCGCGTTCCATTCTTATGCTGTTGCCAGTTAAAACAAAAGCTATGAACATCTGTCGATATCTTTCAGGAGTTTGAAAAGCATAAGAAACCCCAGAGTAGCTGGCATTAACAGCAAAATACGCTCCTTTTCCCCACAAGCTAGAGTCACCACTATAACGAAAATCAAAACCATGCTCTGATTTGTAGATTACTTCTGGAGAAACTTCACTGCTTCCGTGAAATAACCATTTCTCATTCACCTCACCACCATTCTTCTCGTGCATTCTCCTCTTACAGAGGGCATATTTATGATACAAATATTTGTTTTGTATCCTTTCAACTTTAACAATTTTTGCCTCCTTCATTGTCTTCTTGACAGCTCTCACTATCTTGAGCCACTCTGAAGAACTCGATTTAGCAAGTAACTCTTTTCAGCTCAGTATTACCAGTTTGTGGCTCCCATT